TGTATGTATGGATGTATGTATTTATGTATTTATATATTTTTTTTGTAGATTTCTCCGCAAGTTAACCTAATGTGGAACGTTGTTGGCTCATGAAAGGAAGCACTGGCTAAACTCACCACGCTCAACCCACAGAAGTGAAGAACAAGCCTCCTCTAGACCAAGCCTGAAGGCAAAGATTCGAGACCGCCAACCTGGTCTAACCCCTCAAGCCGCTGAACGCTTGAGCCAAATGCCGAATCCAGACGCTGATATCCCTGAATCAACGCACGTTGACAAACCCAGCTCTTCTTTGAGCGGCAGTCTTTAACTGAAAGGAAGTCTCATGATTCTATGTGTGCGGGCTGCTGCTGTTGGCTGTTGTTATGTCTTATGCCATGTTTCGGAACGTTAAAATTGCCAGCATTGTGACTATCACTGCCATAGAATCACTCCGAAAGGCCTGCTTTTCAGGAGCGCTGATCGACCTGTAGTAGTTCTTGGCTTCGCTCAGAATTTCGGGGGTGGTTCGTGGGTTCTTTGCGGAGCCCACTCCCGAGTCCTTTAGTTGAGAGGAGGGTGGAGGCTTCCCTGCTTGTTGGCGGGGGATGCGGGTCTGGCAGTGATGGCGACTCAAACATCGGGATCTGCAGAGATTTGCCAGGCGAGGCTTCCCGAAAACCCTCCAGACAGTGTGTGCATATACATATACGTGTACATACAAATATACACATATACACATGAACACATATGTACATGTGTACATGTATACATGTATACATATACATGTACATATGCATATACATATACAAATATACATATGTATATTTATATATACATACATATATCCACATATATACATACATATATATATATACACATATACATGTGTATATATATACATACATATATACATACATACATATACATACACACGCGCACGCGCACATTCAAACACACACACACACACAAGGAATAGACAAGCAAACAAATCAACTTGTATCAGGTGGTACACAACCTGCTAAATTCCAAGCGACCAGAGGTTGCCAACGGCTTCGCCGAAGGCTGGGCCAGCCGTGCAGCGAAAGAGGGCACCAGCAACCGGACCGAGGAGAGTACGTTACCGTCTTCTGAGAGGGTTCCATTATCCGATGTGGCTTCAAACGAGCTTGAAGGTTTTTTGCTGAAGGTTTGTTCGAGCATTGTTGGTCTGGGCCGTGAGTGTCTCCGGATGATCCGCAGCCGAGGCTTCAGCAATGCCGAGTATCGGTTGCGGCAGCTGTCAGCAGCATCCGGTCCAGGTTTGTATTTTGGATTCAGACTTCGGGAAGTCTGGGTAGGTAGGCTGTTGCTTACAGCATGTACCAGTACCCGCAATCGTATTGGGTTTACACAGTTGGGGTATGGACATGGATCCAAGTTTGTATGTCGTGTATTGTATCTTGCTACTACTGCTGCTGTTGCTCTTCTGCTTCCACTACGACTACTGCTACTACTACTACTACTACTTCTAATACCACTACGACTACCACTACTACTACTACTACTACCACCTCTTTACTACTACTACTACTACTACTACCACCTCTTTGCTACGACCACGACCACGACCACCACCACCACCACCACCACCACCACCTCCCTACTACTACTACTACCACTACCACGACCACTACTACCGCTGCTGCTGCTACTACTACCACCACCACCACCACGACCACTACTACCACTACTATCATTTGCATTACTGATACTACCACTCCCTACCACCACCACCACGACGACTACTACCACTGCCTCTGCTACTACCACTACTACCACTACTACTACTACTACTACTGCTGCTCCTAGTGTTGTTGTAATGATTATTATTACGACCACTACCACTACCACCGCCACTGCCATTACGATCACTACTGCTACTGCTACTGCTACTGCTACTCCTACCACTACTACTACTACTACTACTACTACTACTACTCGACGACGACGACTACTACTGCTGCTAAAACTACGACTGCAGTTGCAGCAACTGCAACTGCAGCGGCCACGGCGACGGCAGCAGCAACGGCAAGAACAGCCACTACGACTTCGACTACGCCTGCCACTACGATTGCGATTACGTCTTCGGCTACGACAGCTACGACCGCGACTACGACGACGACTACTACTCTTAGTTTTACTACTATGGCTGCTGCTACTGGGCTCTGTATGCCACCTATATGCAAGGAAGACACCAACTTAGCGGCTCTTGAACCTGTGTTGCTACACCTGAGGCCCTAAGTCTAAACCTTAAGACCTTAAGGGCCTTAAACCAGACCGCTGATCACCATACCTGAGGTGACAGTCAGCCGATTTATGGGAGTCTCGGCAACAGTTGTTGTTATCCGCACAACTAGGCACAGACATTCGCCTGAACCTTAAGTCTGAAACCCTAAAGTGGGATTCCAGGCATTGTTCACAGGGGACGGTTAGGGATTTGGGGTTGCGCACATGCCCTCGAACCCTCGATGCACTCCACGCCCGATGCCCTCGCTTCGAATCGAACAGACCAGAAATGATGCATGCCCTAGACTTCACTCGATGGCTTTCTAAATAGCAAAGGAAGGTACAGTACCTTGGATGAAGCTCTAGGGGTAAATCTACCCATAGCACAGCAACTCCTCTGAGGAGTAAACCGAAAAGGTAGCCAAGGCACACACTCCACCAAGTTATAGATATGTATGTGTATATCTATATATATATATATATATGTAGATAGATGGATTCTTTCTTAGAGGCCCCGAGACAAGGCAGCTTTTTTCGCCGTGATTCCTACCCAAGGCGCTAAACCTAGTGTCTGGGCCCTGCACGAAAAAAACAGCTTCCAATATATTTTTCCAAAGCATTATATCGAGACCCTGTTAGGTCCCATCGTCGGTCGCTTCCTGGTAGACTATGGGGGCCGCCGCTGGGCGTCAACGTTTCTCAGGGTCAACGCATGGAGTGCATTCTGGGTTCGCTGGGGTTCCGGGCCTTCGTGCCTGTAGTAAACATAGAGTGACCTTAGAGCCTATCAGTTGTTAAAAGTAGTATAGCCATGGAGGCGCCTGGAGTGCAGCGAACACGTGTGAGAAGGACCGCAAGAGTGACATATCGCAAAAGCATCTCTGTAGTTTCGGACACCCTGGCACAATCGAGATTCCAGCTTCCGTGCGTAGTGCACCAAATCAGGCTCTTGAAGTTGTTTCTGAGGCCTTGAATGTCGTCCGGACATACACTTAGAGGGCCTAGCCATGAATGCAAGGTTCGCTTAGAGAGGTGCTTGTGCGATTGTTTCAGACCGTTTTCGATATGTTATTATGTTGTCAGAGTGTTCGCTGACACATCAGTTTTGGTTTAGGGAGCGTTCGTCCCGATGTGTGCGCGTGTGGTACTTCTGCTAACTCGGTCGAGATGAAGGTTTGAAGAGAGATGCCAATACCCAGTCGAGTCAAGCAGAAAAGCAGCGCGGGACTTGCAATCGCTGCACTGATACGTTTGGTACATATAATATGTTGTTCAATAAAGTATGTTGTTCATTGCGAGTGGAGGACCATCTGGATCTGTGTTGATGTTTGCCTTCGTTTGTCACGATTGTTATTGTTTGTCATCCACGAATCAAGCCGCTCCGAGGAAACGTCTACGCAGTAGCCCAGTTGGTTATGTGCTTGATGGGAACGAGGACCTGCGGCCAGCAGTTGAAAGTTGACACTGGTTTCATGCTCCGAACCTACACTCACCCGAGCGCGGCACATCCGCCCGCAGACAAGATCGCACACATACAAATGCACACGACCTCGCCCCTTCAAGCAGCCACGAAGCTGAGGGGGCTTTTCCTAGCATCCCACCCGTTCAGTGACTTAGCGAAGGATGCTAATTGGGTATTTCCATGCAGAAGGTAGTTGGTGTTGTTTCCAACGGTTGAAAGGATGCAGACTTGATTTCACTGCTGCGCAGCTCAAGCCAGTCAGGCCTACCATCCCCAGCATCTTCCCGATGGCAGTGGATCGAACAAGATCTTAATGTTCGTTGGAACGAACGACTACCAGGAACATTTTGACTTCTTCTTTGCAGTTGTAGTTTGGAACCGCCCGTGACGCCTTATCAACCACTTGATAAGTTTGTAGACTGCCTGCGTGACTTGGATCGCATCCACCAAGTTCTCTTCCCGGACTCGAGGCCAACGATGTGCGATCGATTTGGGTCTCCACAGCCCGCTACATACGTCATGCACGGCACCACTCAAAGAGCTGCAGGGAAAGCTAAGAAATACGGTCCTGTGGTGCTTGAGGTCGCTTAACGAAAGGTCGGCCGAGGCAAGTGGATCGACAGGCAGGGTCATCCCTTGGAAAATTCCTGGTCGCAGAACGGCTACGACTCTGCGCGGGTACCCCCTGGTTGCGGAATGCTGCGATCTGCTCAGGCAGAGGACTGCGTGCTGGACCCAGAGCGTTTGCTGGTTCTTCGTCGTGTGCGGGGATCGGCACGTGCAAGCTCTGGGAACTGCAGACGTACCTTCCCCTCGACTGCAAAGTGCCTTGAGGCCCGTCAAACAAGAGAGGAGGTGGAAAGACAAGCTCGCGCAGATTCTTCTGTCGTGGTGATTCTGCTGCCTCACCGTCACCAGTCGTTAGATCAATGCCGGCTCTACATGGCTGCAACAGGCCAGGTCCAGGTCAATCCAAGTCAGCGAACGAACACGGGGCACACCAGCCATCTGAACCTGCTGCTGCATTCGAAAATTGCGAGTCTGTGATCCAGCATAGGGTTCATTCCTTTGAACAGTTCTGCCTGGCAGACAGCAAAATCGAGCCGACGGATCTTGAGGGCTGCTCACTGTCACGCATTGCGAACCAACATAAGTAGAAAGGAAAGCACAACAAATCACTCATCGCCGGCAATTAACCCGACAGGAGAGCACAAGACCCCTTCTTAAACAAGGTTCTGAGCATTGCATTCTCTTCATGACCTCTACTCTGCACAAATAATTGCTCGGAACAGGTGCTGAGAGAGAAGCTTAACAATCGCTTAAGAAGTTGCTGGTTTCCATAAAATTGTCCTGTCAACCCATGTCACCTGATTGAATCTTGGTCGAGGACGGTTTACAAGACGGTTGGTCTTATCTGGCGCTGGAACCGCGCCAACCCCCAGGTGAGTGTCAAGGACACGGAGGCCATTTGTACCAAATGTTGGTTCGCCGGCTGTAGGTTCCAACTTCTCGAATTGCGTAAAAAGGTTGAAGTATCTCTAATCCTGGTTCTAGCCGCACAAAGCCTGCAACATCACCAAACCGACCCCTTCAACATGACAGTAGTCTGCAATGAGCCCGCCTCACTTACCCAAGACCCAAGACACCCTTGACTTCAAAGATTTCTACAGCCCAAAGCCCGAAGCGTTGCACGTCGAGGGTACACTCTTGGCAGGTCCCCGCTGCGGAGAAGCTTCTCAAGGGAGAGGCGGCTGGAGTTTCCTTGGCAGGTTGAGCTCTAGGATTTCGGTACTTTGGCCGAGGGTTTCGATGTTTCGACTCTATCCTGCTGTAAGGGATGTTGATGGAGTAAGCACCTGCCTAATGAGGTGGGTGGACGCAAACGTGGGGTTGTTCGCGAAGTCAGATCTACTGCTACTACTACGACGACGACAACAACTACTACTGCTACTACCGCTACTACTACTACTACCACTACTACTACTGCTGCGACGACTACCACTACGAGTGCCACTGCCACTACTACTGCTACTGCTACTAGTGCTACTGCTACTGCTACTGCTACTGCTACTACTACTACTACTACTACCAGTACGACGACGACGACTACTACATTGTGTCGGGAATCGAGAACCACTACTTCATGTCGTAATCTTTGTAATCTTG